TCCTTGGAAAGAGTGGGGTGAACGGAAACGCGGAGGCCATGAGGATGGGAAGCACAGGTACCAAGGTTTAGACTGTAGATTATGTCCTGCTTTAGAGAAGGTATAAGAGATTATTAACAATTTCAACTATAGACCGGACGCGGTGGCTCACACCTATAATTCCAGCACTTTGAGAGGCCAAGGCGGGTGGATCTCTTGAGGTCAGGAGTTCGAGACCAGCCTGGCCAACATGGTGAAACCCCGTCTCTGCTAAAAATACAAAAATTAGCCAGGCGTGGTGGTGCATGCCTATAATCCCAGCTACTTGGCAGGCTAAGGCAGGAGAATCGCTTGAACCTGGGAGGCGGAGGTTGCAGTGAGCATTTCAGCCTGGGTGGCAGAACGAGTCTCCATCTAAAAAAAAAAAAATTTTTCAACAATAGTAATACTTTCTATTTGTGAGAAATTGTGGAATGAATACATGAACTATTTAGGAAGGTTCTTACTCAGGGCCCCTAAAAGTAGAATTTACCTTTTGTTTCTAATTCTGATCTCTTTAATCAGCAAAGTCTGTCCTGTGCCATTGAAGTGCTACAGAAGGAAATGGATGTAGACTCTAGCTTCGTTTGTGTAATGCTGCTTTACAGACATGTTGTCAAATTGTAGTTTTCAGAGGAAAACATAGTTTTCTTTGAGGTGATTCTTCTGAGTGTGGTAGGCAGGATAACAGCCCCAAAGATGTCCACATCCTAATCCCCAGGTCCTGTGAATAGGTTCCCTTCCATGCCAGGACTTTCACAGGTGTGATTAAGCTAAGGATCTTGAGATGAGAAGATGATCCTCGATTGTGTGGGTGGCAGTGATGTAATCACAGGGGCCCTTGTGAGAGGGAGGCAGGAGAGGCAAGTTAGGGTCAGAGGAGGAGGAGGAGGAGGCCTGAGTGATGTGAACCCCTGAGCTGAGGAATGTGGGCAGCCTCCAGGAAACGGAAGAGGCAGGGAGCCTAGATCGTCTGGAAGAATGCAACCCCGCCGGCCTATTGCAGACTTCTGACTTCCAGAACTGTAAGATAATAAACCGTGTCTGTTGTTTTAAGCCACTCAGTTTGGGCTGTTCATTGCAGCAGCAACAGGGAACTAATAGACACTGAAGAAGAGATTCAGTCACTCATTGACTCAGTACTGCGCGTCTGCTCTGCCAGCCACACTGCCCGGCCCAGCTGGACCTTGCCTCCTGGACGGAGAGACAGAAGGAGTTATAGAGAGTACTGCATGCTGCCATGAGAATAGAACTGGCATGCAGTAGAAAATGATGGGGCAAGGAGGTGCAGAGGGGGCTCGTTTTGATGGGGCATGAGTCTAAGAAGGCCCCTCTGAGGAGCTGGAACCTGAATGTTAAAAAGGAAGTGGCCATTCTGAGCTCTGGAAGCCAAGGGTTCCAGGCAGGGGACACTGTGAGTGCTGAACATGCAGAGGGGCTCGTGCTGTGACAGGAGGCAAAAGGATGCAGGACTCCCCTCCTCCACGGCCCTCCCCACTTTGATTTAAAGGAGGAGGCTGTGGTGGCTCAGGTTTTCTTATCCCCGCAGTGGGAAAACCTCAGGAGAATCTTTTCTTTTCTCTTTTTTTTTTTTTTTGAGACAGAGTCTCGCTCTGTCGCCCAGGCTGGAGTGCAGTGGCTGGATCTCAGCTCACTGCAAGCTCCGCCTCCCGGGTTTACGCCATTCTCTTGCCTCAGCCTCCCGAGTAGCTGGGACTACAGGCGCCCGCCACCTCGCCTGGCTAGTTTTTTTTGTATTTTTTAGTAAAGACGGGGTTTCACGGGGTTAGCCAGGATGGTCTCGATCTCCTGACCTCGTGATCCGCCCATCTCGGCCTCCCAAAGTGCTGGGATTACAGGCTTGAGCCACCGCGCCCGGCGAGAAACTTTTCATACCTTGATCTTGCCTGAGAGGGTTGAGGGTGTGCATGGGACGCATCCTTTCTCGTGGGCATTTTGTCTGTGACTCTCGACATCCATGTGCTGTGCCCAGTCATCGCCTGTCCTCAGCCCCAGCACTCTGATGGCAGTGTTCTGAGAGCAGAGGAGCCTTGACTTCCAAATCTGTTAAGTGATACTGTGTCAGAGCTGAGAACTTTCTACTTTTGTCATCAAATTCTGAATTGGCTTTGTCGTCTGGAGTGGAGCAGCCCTCTTGCGCACAGTCTCTGGCAGGAGCGACAGCAGAAGGCTGAGGGTCAACCCTTCTGGGTCCAGACAAGCTGTCCCATACCCTGCCTCGGCCCAGGTCTGTGCATGAGGAGGAGGAGAGTGTTTCTGTTGCTGGCTTCTTATGAGTAAGCCCTGAAGGCTCATGATCACCGTCCACTGTGTGTTCTCTCACAGCCCTTGCAGTCTAATCATTGATGTGGATTTTAGAGAACATTTATTCCCGTCACCTGGTTTTATCAGCAAAAAGGTGGGGGCCCTGAATGGGGACATGGCCAAAGTATGTCGAGAGCTTTCAGAACCCCTACCCCTGCTCCCCGAGGACAAGGAGGATCGTGGACCTAGGAAACTGCGGTGGGAATGCTGAGCCTTGTCTTTTGTAAGGACACCTCCTACATCTTCTTATTTTTTTATTTTTATTTATTGTTATTATTATTATTTTTGAGACAGAGTCTCGCTCTGTCACCCAGGCTGGAGTGCAGTGGTGCAATCTTGGCTCACCGCAATCTCCACCTCCCCAGTCCAAGCGATTCTCCTACCTCAGACTCCTGTGCAGCTGGGATTACAGGTGTGTGCCATCACGCCCGGCTTGTTTTTGTATTTTTAGTAGAAACGAGGTTTCGCCATGTTGGTCAGGCTTGTCTCGAACTCCTGACCTCAAGTGAGCCACCCGCCTCGGCCTCCCAAAGTGCTGGGATTACAGGCGTGAGCCACCGCGCCCAGCCTCCTGCATCATTCGAAAAATGTACTTCCCTTATCCGTCTGTGAACGCCTGTGAGTTGCTTATGTATAAAATCAAGGGTGTATTTTGCTTTGTGAAATGGTTTTTGAATTGTCTCTATTTTTTAATTAAGTACTGACTTTTTAAACCCCCAAATGTCATGTCTCCCAGAATTAGAAGTGTAAATGATCTTCAGGGACCCTCTCCCAACTCTGCCAGATAGTCTAGTCTCCTAGAACCCTGGAAAGGTGTTTGGAGATACATACAAAGTCTGTGTGCCATGGTAATTATATGTGAAGTGGGTTATTTTGGTTTTTGTTTATTTAATGAATAGAGTAACGTAGTTACACTTAGTAATACTCATTCACCCAAAGGAAGGGGGGCTGTTAAATCATTGTGTTTTTTGATGAATGGCCTGTACACTGAAAAATAAATTGGACAAACTGGCATAGAGCTCAGTGAACATGAAATCAGCTATTAGAAGAAAGCTTGTGAACAAATTCTGAGGCAGATATGCATCTTTTGATTAATGCCCTATCAATCATCCACACAGCTACCTTAGCTAAGTCTTGCCGTAATCATTCATGCTTGCTTTTGGAAACACTGGCAGCAACTATAACGCCGCAGAAACGGAATATTATTACTGATTTCTCCCTAACTTACTGTGAACAATGACTGTTTTCACCATGTTTCTGCTTTCCTTTATTAAAGAAATACAATGCAGAATGAAAGGAGAGTTCCTCAAAGCCTGGTGAAATTCTCCTAGGGTATTCTTAATGATATTCAGTCTTAAATGGGCAAGCTATTGTAATGTAAGGTTCTCTGTAGAAATAATAGTAATGTAATCCCATTGAAGCTGCCTGTTATGGATTGTAGTCAAATAGGCAAAATGTAGAGTCACGTTAATGAACAGAGTATATCTTTGAAATTATTACTTAAAGTTGTTGAAATGGTTTGAATTTTGCTATTGTAATTATTTTATTCTCCGTTAATGCGCTTAACAGCCATAGTAATTAACCCACCAGATTGGAAATTTGCGTGAATTCTGACTTTGACATTACAAGAAACCCTGATTCTTTCTGGGTATTACACAGCAGGATAGGGAGAAATATATACATATATATAAAAATATTTTTTTACTGATTTTTTTTTAAAAAGAAATTTCCATGGATGCAATTATTAGTTTTTCATGCATTTTTAAGCCATTGGCAAATTCCTTAAGAACACTCCGTTCTTTTAAGAGGGTTTGATTCCAAAACCACGCTGGCACAAAGAATGATTTGGCATTGCCTGCTGGTCGAGAAATCTTTAGGTAATATCACTGCTTCCTCAGGACTTACTGTAGCCTGGGAAATAGTGTGGCATAATAAAGTAGTGACAGGCATTAGCATGCATAATGGGCTTTAATAGACATTAAATGCTGGTTAGCTAGAAGAGGGAGCAGTGCTCTCCCACTGGAATATTCCTCCATTGAAGCCCATTGATCACTGATTTCAGTGGGGAGAGGTTAATCCATCAGCTTCTGTAACCAGACGGCACTGATGGAAATTCTTTAGGTGGCATTCTGGATGAACCAAGCTTTCCATCTTTACAAACAAATGAGTGATATGACAAGCATGGTGTTCAAAACACATTTAACCAATTGATTTTCTTTCCTCTTGTAATAAGATCTGGAGACATATGAAAGCGTGCGGTGTGAGCTAAGATTAAAGGAATTGCTCCATACACAGGAACATACGGAACTAAGAGCCAATAAAAGTCCTATAAAGCATGTAGTCACCCATTCTCTTTTTTATATAAAGTTTGTTATTGCAATAAATAGTTATTATTGAGCTGATGCCTTTTATTTCCGTTTTTGCAGAATCTTGTTTCAGGTCTGCGTGTGTATGTGCACGCACATGCGTGTCTCATCTCAGTGCTCATCTTTCCCTTACAAGTTTTCAAGATGCTTGGCAATAATCCTACCTTCTCATTTAAACAAATTTGATTTGGGATGGATGGTAAAATTATAGATAGAAAGCTGCAGATCTTGTGTACTTGTCTGAGCTCGGCATTTAAGTGATGGTCGTCTTTTTTTATCTCCCACGCACAGCCCAGCCTTGAGCTTCACCTACTCTTCTGCGCCCGTCTCTCTCCACATGCATCAGCAGATCCTAAGCCGACAGCAGAGTTTAGGTTCAGCCTTTGGACACAGCCCTCCACTCATCCACCCTGCCCCAACTTTTCCAACACAGAGGCCCATTCCAGGGATCCCCACGGTTCTGAACCCCGTCCAGGTCAGCTCCGGCCCTTCCGAGTCCTCACAGGTGAGAGGGATAGGTCGATGCACCCGGCTGCGCTGGTCAGCCGAGGGTGGGGGCAGGCCACCATGTCAGCCGTTAAATCAACACGACACCTCTGTGTTCTCACAGCCTTCGTACTGGCATCCTGTCTTCTTAATACTGAGGTCTAGTCTTCAGTTTTGGTGAACGTGTTGTGTAAATGCTTCTCATCAAACAGTTTTTTCCCCCAGAGTCATTTTCCCATAGGAATAGCAGCAGGCTGCTTGATAGGGCTCCCCTGTGACCTGGTGCCATCTGTAACCTGCATCCCATGTTAATGCAGCGTGTGGATGCATTGCTCTCATTTGGTCTCATTTGCTCTCATTTGGTCACTGTTCACTCCCTCTGCTAGAACCACAGTTGCGACTTACCACCGGGTGGTACTTTAGAGTAAGACTAAAACTGTGCTTTGCCCTGCGTTAACTGTTGCCACTTTGATATTGTTTGGAGAAAAATCTGGATGCTCTGGTTAAAGAACTTCACAAACGGAACGGGTTGGTCTTCTACCCTCCTCACAACTTTGTTCTTTTGAAATACCCTGTTGGAGCTTGTTAAAGCTTCGGGCCTCAGCTCCATTCTTCTAGCTTTTAAAAGCCACAGGGAGTTTATACTCACGAGTTAAAAATGAAGAGCTGCCGCATTTACGTATTTTCTAGCTTTGAACATACTATCTGAACTCTACTACCCTGGGAATTGGAGCATTATCAGAGTTGTTGCTTTATTGCCAAATAAGCCCGCTTGTCCCGAGTTGCAGGTTTTAATTATGGTACTGCTCCTTGTTGATGAAAATCTTTTTGTCTCTGGCTCTGCAAATGTGACCAGCAGAACAAGCCCACGAGTGAGTCTGCAGTGAGCAGCACTGGTGACCCGATGCACAACAAGAGGTCCAAGATCAAACCCGATGAAGACCTCCCCAGCCCAGGGGCTCGGGGGCAGCAGGTAGGACACTCAGGGTGCACAGGCCAGCGTCCACTCCTCCCAAGATTGGTGTCTTTAAGCCAGCTCCCCCTTCCTTCCCAGTCCTAGTGTCTTTTCACAGCAGTTCCTTGTTTACTGCATTGTTGACCTTGGCCATACTCGACATGTTGTACAAAAGGCTAGGTATAGAGTCACTAAATTGTTCTTCTAGCTCAGAAGCAAATGCAGTCCAGGAAGCCATGTGGGGCATAGCTTCTTGACAGGTTAGGCAGCTTAGGAGTATGGGCAGCTGTAGTTCATAGAGGAAATGGTTGCATTAATTTGTTGCTGGCCACAGGTGAGACCAGGCTTCAATCCTCATCTGTGATCTTGAGCCTGAATTACTGAGCTCCTGGACCCAAGCCTGAGCTGTGGCAGATCTACTGATGGCTCCTATACCAATTGTGTTCTCATTTTTTCTTATTTTGCTACTTCCCACTTTCTAGGAGAGCCTGGCGAACCAGAAGGGATGAAAACACAACTAACCTAAGGCTAGTTAAATCCTGGCACTCAGCCCAAAACTCTGAAAGGAAACGTGTAGGAATTTCAATCCGGACTCCGCCTCTAGTCACTTAAATTCTTTAGGCCTCAGTTTAAGGATGTATAGGTTATACCCGTAATATCATCTCATAGGACTCTCAGCCTGACGCAGGAAGGAGCTCCATGAATGCTAATTCCCCAACATAGAGATTGGACAAGAGTCCAGCTGTCCAGAGAATCTGGACCTTGTTGTCATCAGGCTGCTTCAGCCCAAACCTCAGACTACTTGCCCAAATTTCCTTTTCAGCAAGAACGTGGAGGCTGGAGTAAATTGGTGTCACTGGTTCTGAAATGGATCTTTCCTCTTGCATATTGCCAGACAGCAACTACCTTGCTGGTTACACTTCAATGCCTGCATACGGTTTTTATCATCTAGCCCCGGATTGGGACCTGAATCTACACAAGATGAATTCTTAAAATGACTTGGATTTGCATTGCTGTGAAGCTGCCGCAGGAAGGACTGTGCCCCTGAGCTTTGATGCTGTGGCCCCTGGGCCCTGGGTAGTGAGCATATCCTTAGAGATCAGAGGTTGAATCGAGAGGACATTATCCCTATAAAGTCCACAAAAGTGTCTCACACAGTCTCCAACAGCAGGGAAAACAGAATTAGAAATACTAGTAAACCATTTCCCTCAATTGCAAAGTATAAGAAGAAACAAATTAACAGACCGAAAATAATTAAAACAACTAAACAAAATAGAAGTACCAATCTTTTGAGTAAAGATCTAATTTGATTTATTGTCTTATGAGCTTTGTTTTGTTTGTTTTTGTTTTTTTTTTGTTTGTTTTTTTAAGATGACATTTGGGTTTATTTTCAGCTCTGTAATCAGGGCAGCAAAGTTTGGCCTCAACTTTTAATCATCGTTTTGACAGGCTGTTGCCTTGAATCACATGTTAAAACTCCCAGAGTGTATTTGGTAAATCTGAAAACGTGCACAGAAATGATTTTATTGTTTGACTTCTTCAATTCACAAAACCCTAGACCCAAATCTGAATCCAGTTTTTACTTTCTCTTCTTGTCTTCCCTCCCATTGTGTCTGATGCTTCCCCCTTCTCTGTTCCCTGCCCCCTACCCTCTTCTTTCAGGAACAGCCCGAAGGAACAACCCTTGTCAAGGAGGAAGGGGACAAAGATGAAAGCAAACAGGAGCCTGAAGTCATCTATGAGACAAACTGCCACTGGGAAGGCTGCACGAGGGAGTTCGACACCCAAGAGCAGCTTGTGCACGTAAGTGGATGGTATTCAGAAACGGGGCTTTACAGCTCTGTGACCCTTTCCAGGGAGGTCGGCCTCTCTGACCCTGAGCTGAGTGAAGTTTCTTAGTGAGCGGCGTTGCGAACTGGAGAGGGCTTTATGACTTTCTGAGAATAAAGAAAACTCGGAGCCACGGTGCTTGACCTGTTCAGTCAGCTAAAGCTGAGTGTAAAATTCAATAAAGTCTTCAATAGAGAGTGTAATGACTCTGATCCTGTAAGCCAGAAAACACTATTTTGAGTTAGCGACTTTGATGGTTATTGAGTAATAGTAAGCTGGACATGAATTATGATTAACCTTTTAACCAAGTTTGATTCCCCTTCCCAGGCCCGGTAACAATGGAAAAAACGTGGAGATGGGGAATTTCTTTTTTTCCTCTCCCAAACTCTCAAAGCCTAAGGAAGCTCCCATTATTTTAAGCCGCAGTTAGTACTCTAGATGAGCTAGGTAACATCATTTCTTGGTTTGAGGCCAGCCCTTGTGGGGTTAGTAGTTTCATGGAAAAAGTTATATGTGTTTTTAAATGTATTTAGTGATGGATGTTTTGGAAACTGCAGCATGGTCACATTGAGAACCACACCTCCTCTTCCAAACCAGGTTCAGAACTTTTTACACACTCTTCTGCATATCATTTCAAATAATGCAGTGTGCACAAAGCCTTCTCCCCACCCCATGCCTGATTTGTGATACTCCCTTCCCAGTGCTTCACTGTTCTTGGCACTTTCTTGAAGACCAGTGGAGTTTTCCCTGGCAAATGGGACCAGGAGCGGCTGACGTGGAAGAACATTTAGATGATCAAGAATAAAAAGATGCAGGTGCTACAACCCCTGGCAGAAGCACAGGGTCCTGTTGAGGCATTAAGTGTGGCAGTTTTTCAAGCTTTTAATGTAATGAGAAATTGGACAAAGTAGCATTTGTTGCAGTTCTCCTCCTCCTGCTCTCTCTCTTTTTCTGTCTCCACTTTCTCTTCCATGATCCATTCTTCTTTTTACAGTAACTGTATTTTTAGGCAATTCATGTTTTTTGATAACTAACATTTAGATTAAGCACTAAAATTATGAGTCCCTCTTACATCCCACACGTTTCATAGGCAGTGTGATCTTTTAATGTGTGTCTCCTGCAACTCGGCACATCCTATATCATATATTCCACGCATTGCAGTTACATTATAGTGTTAAGCACACAGGGTGCCAGATTTTGAGCTCTGTTCTGTACAGAATGTTTTGAGGATTTTACATGCTGTCGCCAGGGTTCCTCTCCTCCATTGCTTTTTAAATCATGTCTCCTGGTAATTGTATACAAAGAATTATAGATTTCTGAGCACAGCAAAAAAAAAAAAAAAAAAAAAAGTCAAATGTTTTTAATTAAGGTATATTTCCAGAATTTTTCCATGAACTTAATTTGATTCTTTTTCTTTAATTTGATGCAAGTGTTATTTTTAAGCCAAGTCTGACTTAATGGCCATTTATTCTTGCTGACTGTTTAATGGAAATCACAAAGACATTGGAATACCAAGAGGGAGAAAAGTTTGGCATTTTTGTTTTAGTATGGGGAAATACTCCCAAAGAATAGCATATGCTATGTGTATCCTTAGTGATATAATGAATGATCAACAAACATGAAGAGAATTGTTTGTGCAAAACCTGCTATCATAGAAGAGATGTTGGCAGGATGTCTTGCTTTTTAAAATATCCTGAAGGTGACACAGTCTCATGGTGCTGTTTTGGAGGGGAAGTCATTGTAGTTTGCAAGGAATGTTGGATACTGGTTCAGTCATTACCAAATCAGGAATGAAATAAGAGCTTATTCTAAGTCTACATTTAAAATGAATTGTGCTCCTCATAAGAGGCAGGGTTTGAAGTAATATTTTTTGGAGTGCAGTAGTAAGCTTAACCCTTTCACAGCCTAAATACAGTAATGTGAAAGCTTTTAAAAGATGGTGAAATTGCAGGTATTTGAATTTAATTTCGGTGGCCAATGGTCTCAATGATGTTTTAATAGAGAGATCTGAGTAGTTTTAAAGGAAGGCTGCTTAAAACTACCAACTAAATGACCAGCATGTTGTCTGTTTTATCAAAATGGTCTTTAAAAAATATGAGTGCGCACATATACAGTGGAATATTTTAATTCCAGATTAACCAGAAGAAATTCATGTCAGGATTAGAAGAAAATCCAATATATTACCTTTATGATATTAATTTTAGTCTGAGACAAATTATATGAGTAAATAAACTTAATTAAATGAATTAAGAATTTTAATTTACCACAACATAAATAAGAATACTAGTTTGTATCACTTATTTTCTGCCTTTTTACTTACTGTCTGAGGTGCAGGATCCCCAAGTTTGCATGTTTAAATTGATTCTATGTTGCATGACATGCGTGTACTTTCTTACTCATGAGTATATCTGGCAGCAGTAGTGGTGGCCTGTTATAGAGTAGGTAGGTGCTTTGTATTATGTTGATTGAAGGAATAGCTACTTCAAGTCCACCTGATTACTTTGGTGGTAGAATAAATACCAGTTGCAAAAACTACTTTTTTACAGAGGGAAGCATTAACAGTTTCCATTCCTGTGACTTTCCTTGGAGAGAGGACATTTTGTGAATTAGTTGAATTTTCATGCCACATACAACCAAGAGGCAAGGTGTTAAACCATTCTGATGCTCTGCCTTATTTATAGCCGTGACCCATTCTTTTTCCCCTTCTTACAGTTAATAGAAAGATTCATGATTCTTCATGGTTGTCTATCTAGTGTCTGACAGTCCCGACTGCCTGCTAAAGCAAGTCACTATCTATAATTGATATCCTTCCGGGGAATAGGGTGCTGGCTGCAATTGAAGGGCTTTGCTGAAAGCTCTTAAATCCTGACAAGTTCTCCCCTTGTTCTGGTTCAGTCGTTGAGCTGCACGGTTGGAATTCCGGAGTTATTTGAACTTGGTGCAAAAGGGAGACATGTGCTTCACATTAGCAAATCACAAAGTTGAAGAAGAGAATTAGAAACTCGGCTGACTTTGCCCGCCAGGTAGTCTCATTTCCACTGTAATGCACTCCATGTACTCTTGAAAAGATTACCTCGTCCATTACTATCTGAACAGATGGGCTAAATATTAGCCCTTCCCTTCTCTTCTCCTTTATTTGAAGCCCCTCTCCCTCACCGGTTATGTGTTTATTCTAGGTTTGCTGCTGGGTCTTTATCACAGGGATGTTTAATTAATTTCTCTTCCCAGCAAGATAATTACAATTGGGCTTAGTTACTCTCAAGCTAGTATTAAATTTGTCATAAATTTACTTCTGTGACCAGAAGCTAAGAAGATAGATGCGTGTTTTTGTTAACTGTGTTCTTGTTGTGCTTCGTCCCTTTCTTGGTGTCAGTTAAAATTGAAGGAAACAAAAAAGCAAGAGAAATATATAGAACAAAAATTAATTCTAAGTACGTTGAAGACTGAATTTATTATTGATTTGCCAAGATGCAGGTATTTTCTTTTGCCATTTGAAAGACACACATTCTAACATCTCAAAATGAGTTGAAAGTCCGTATTTTTCTTCAATTTTAAATTAACCAGACTTTTGTTGTTGTTGAGCATTATAAAAGGTGTGAATCATAACTTCAAATGTGTTTCTGAGAGTTGTAGTGTATCCATTTTCAAAGTGTTATTTGGTTTTGCTTTCTGTTTAAGCTGTTTGGTTTGTGCTGATGTTATTTGGTTTAGCTTGTGTTATTATGCAAAGCAGCTCAGCCCAGCTTCTTCCAAGGAAGAAGGACGCTTTCTGTCTACACAGAGATTCATTTCCCTCTTGTTTTAATTTTGTCCTAGAAGTAAGTTCCATCTTTGACTCTTTGATGTTTGAGGTGTCTGAAATATGCACAGCCTGCAGCACACGTCAGTCTCAGGTTCTCTGAAACCTGTACACTTTCGTTGTGCATGACATTGTATATACCACCTATGTTTTGAGAGGCTTTCTAAGAGGAGGAAAAGGAATAAACATAAATAACTTTTATCTCAGTGTGGAGTCATTACTGCTGAGTGGCTAGTTATGCTTGAAAACATCAGTGCTGAGATTGAAAGAATAATAGTATCATCACCATACTTCATGTCCACCTGTTTGCTGTAACTCTGCAACTCTTCGCTCTCAATTTCAACAATCCAACTCCCTATTTCTGTGTAAGAAATAACACGTGTAATATTCTCCCCAAAGGTCTTTAAAAAGTCAAATGATTTTTCAAGTTTTATTCGCCAGCCCAATCCCCAGCGGCATGACCCTTCAGGGCCCTTGGCAATTGCACTGGGGGATGTTGTCTTCTCCCTGTGGGGCAGAACCACAGAGAACATGAGATGTATTTCTGTTAGCACCCAGATTCAACTGGGTGGCATTTAAGTCTCTGTAATCCTCCATTTGTCTCCTTTAAACATAGTGTCAGAAATTCACCTTTTTGTAGAGTGATTAACCACCTACTTGGATTTTAAAATGCTTTCATATGCTGCGAATTTTGATGTCTAAAAGCATGCTGAAGTTTCCTTTATCAGAAGAATACAGTCATAATCACCTTTGCTGCCATTTGGAAACAAATTCTATACATCAGCAGCATGAAAATGAGGGGCTTTCTTTTTAATATAGAGATTTAGATATAAAGAAAGCACATCTAATTTGTGAAGAATTGATGTGTCTGTAGAAACGCAAGGAAGAGTTAGGATGTGAAGACATTCTTTTCACATTAATACCATGATCCTAAATTTGCATTTTAAATGTTTCCCATATAATTTTGATCCCTTTGCTAAAGTTGCATTGTCTATCCTTACCTAAGAGAAAATTGAGTTTAAGATGTGATAGAGGTCTCAGATATGAGGCAGAAATTAGTTTTGTGTGCACATAAAACATAAAACGAATGAGTGGAGATTTTGATCTTATTTTCCCTACATGGAGCTGCTAGTTAATTTGGTTACTCTAATTATTTGGAAACACGGCATATAAA